CTTTATCTTCATTTTTCAGGTGTATGTCTTGTAGACAACACACTGATGGATTTTGCTTTTTTATCTAATCTGCTATTCTTTTTGTCTTCAGCAGTGCATTAAAACCATTCACATTCAGTGTGATTATTGAGAGGCAAGGTTTTACTGCTATCATTGTGTTGAATTATTTTTGGTGCGGATGCCAGTTACTTTGGACCATTCAGCTTTCTGTAGTATGTCTGTAAAAAGGCATTTCTGAGTCTTTCATGCAATGCTGGTCTTGTTTTTACAAACTCTCTTATGTTCTGCTTTTCTGGGAATATCTTGATCTGTCCTTCATATTTGATGGATAATGTTGCTGGGTACAGTATTCGTGGTTGACAGTTGTGTTCTTTGAGTGTTTCACTGTTATTTGAGGGTTCCAACAGTGTTATTGTTTAAGTTTTCCCCCCTTTATATTTTAAATGAGTTGGGGAAAAAAGAATACAGTAACATTTGAAAATTATGTGGAACTCAATTTTTGATGTTCATAAAATTTTCTTCAACACTCTTTTAATTCGGTATTGTCTGGGTTTATTTTGTACTTTTAACATCTGAGTTGAATAGTGGTGACAGAAATGGCATGACTTGCAAAGACTAAATAGTACTGTACTGTTTATAGAAAAAAAATTACTGGTCCCTGGTTTACTAGTATTAGGCCAATCCCTTGAAGCACCACTCTTGAGTTTTCTACCAATTCTCTATTCAAGATAAAGCACTCAAATGTATAAATTTAAATGAATTTAATTTAATTTGCCTTTTTTCTCTCCTCCCCAGCGGAAATTTTTGGAATGTCAGGTGTTATTGCTTTAGTCACCTTAGGATTGAATTTAGATTCCTTAAGTTTCAAACCGAAGATTGAGTTAATAATTACTAAGTAAGTCTCTTAGTGTTTACTTGCTATAGCACTCATAGAAATTTGGTTTATAAGGGGTTTGGCTCTCATGGACACTAATAAAACTTCCATTATATATTTTCTAGCTGTTCCCCCACTTTACTATAATTTATATTTGAAAAGAGCATTTTCTATTATTGTTATTAATTGATACTTTTATTATGAATTACATATATCAGTGACTCAGGGAGCTCTGGTGGCTTAGTGTTAAGGAAATGTGCTGACAACACAAGGATACAAAGTTCAAACCCACCAGCTGCTCTATGGGGGAAAGATAAGCAAGCTCCTTCTACGTGATTTACTGACTTCTGAAAACCTGCTGGAGAGTCAGTTATGGGTGGGTTCTTTCTTGACTGTACACAACCACAGCAACAAAAATCAGTGGCTCAGAGACCATGGTGATCTCCAAAATTTTTTGATAACTATCTACTTTGAATTGTTAGAGTTAAAAAATTAAAAATCTTAGTTATCTTGTTTCTACACATTTCTGCATAACAGTACCATAATATGGGATGAGATCCACCAGACAAAAAAAGCTAGGAGAAGGGTACAACACCAGAATTCTTCATCACTCTTTATACCTAGTCTTATAGACATCTGGATGGGGGGGAACATAACTGATGGTCTCAGATAAATAAGTTAACCCTTCTCCAAAAGGTTGTTTTAAAATATAGTATTGCTTCAGACTTATCACCAAAATCACAATCTGGTATAGAAAATTTCACCCATGAAAGCAAATGTTGAAATGAGAACAATGAACCATCATACTGAATTTTTATATGAAGTTGAATTTATTTAATATAAAGGATAATCAAATGTGAAAATCTCTGTTCTTCCTTTTTTTGTGTTTTAAATGTCCTTTTATATGAGGGAAAATGGTACTTTACATATGTTTCTACTTACCTACCTCTAATTGATAAAATAAAAATTGCCACCCATAACTATGTGTGTGTATGTGTGTGTATATGTGTGTATATATACACACATGCATGCTATAATTTTTTACAACACCCATAAACTTGGGAATCACTAATTCATAGAACATAAATTTAGTGTCTGAATTTGGATAATTTCTTGAGCTTGTTATGCTCTCTGTCAGCAATATGATGAATTATAAATTGTATTTTTCTCTATTACTCATTTAAATCAATATTTAAAGATATTGATTCTTAAAATATACTATGATCTGAATATTCTTTTTTTTCAGCCATTGTCAGTAAGACTCTTTTTTTTTGTTTTTTTATATTTTTTTATTTATTTATTTTTTTTACAGAGGTCTTGGATTTCCATTCATTCATTGCCGCAATTTTCTCCCATTCCACCCTTCCCCACCAGCTCGCTTCCCCCTCCGAAGAGAGAAAAAAAAGAAAAAAAATTCCTTCATTAGTGTACAATTCCCACGTCCCTTCCCCCCA